TTTAAGATTTTATTTATTTGAGAGAGAGAGAATGAGAGACAGAGAGCATGAGAGGGAGGAGGGTCAGAGGGAGAAGCAGACTCCCTGCCTAGCAGGGAGCCCGATGCGGGACTCAATCCTGGGACTCCAGGATCATGACCTGAGCCGAAGGCAGTCGCTTAACCAACTGAGCCACCCAGGCGCCCCTCATATGTTCTTGTTTCTTTGTATACTTTGTAAGTTTTCATTGAAAACTGGTACTGGACATTTTGAATATTTCTATGTGCTATTATTATTATTGCAATGAAAAATAACAAGCACTGGCCAGTATGTGAATAAATCAGAGCTTTCATATATTGCTGTAAAATTGTGCAGCTGCTATGGAAAGTAGTTTGGTGGTTCCTCAAGAAGGTAAACACATAATTACCATATGATTCAGCGATTTCCCTCCCACATACACATCCAAACAATATGAAAACATATATCCTCACAGAAACTTGTACATGAATGTTTAAAACAGCATTATTCATAATAGCCAAAATATTGAAACAGCTCAAATGTTCATCAACGAATGAATGGACTTCTAAAAATGTGGTTTAGTGCTCATTTCTACAGCACATATACTAAAATTGGAATGATACAGAGATTAGCATGGCCCCTTTGTAAGGATGACATGCAAAATCGTGAAGCATTCCACATTTTAAAAAAATAAGTAAAAAATAAAAATATGGCTTATATATACAATGGAATATTATTCAGTAATTAAAAGGAATGAATTATGATAGATGTAATTCGGATGATCCTCAAAAACATTATGCTAAGTGTAAGTAGCCAGATACAAAAAATCATATACTGTATGATTCCTTTTATATGAACTGTCCAGATTTGGCAAACCCATAGAAAGAAAGATTAGTGGTCAGGGCTGGGGGAATGCAAATGAGGAGTGATGACTTAACAGCTGAAGGATGTTTTCCTGGGGTGATGAAAATGCTTGGAAATGAGAAAAGTGATGGAATGTACTAAATGGTACTAGACTATACACTTTAAAATGACTAACTGTATGTTATGTGAGTTTCACCTCAATAAAAGAAAAACTTAGTAATCCATAGCTCATCTTCTGTCTTCCAACTAATCATTTCC